AAGTTCTGGATTCGGAGGCTGTGGCTCTCTCTGGCATCCGGTGCCCCCAAGTTCTGGATTCGGAGGCTGTGGCTCTCTCTGGCATCCGGTGCCCCGCCCCCCGAGGTCTGGATTCGGAGCCTGCGGCTCGGTCTGGCATCCAGAGACCCCCGAGTTCTGGATTCAGAGCCTGTGTCCCTCTGTGTCCTCCCAGGTACTCAGTGTTGCAGAAGCTCTTTCCTCCTATCCCTCACATGAAAGACCCCATCACCGACAACCTTGAGGGCAGCAAGTTGGTACGTCAGGGCTTCTGCTGGGGGTGGGGTGGGTGGGTCTGGGACGGGGTAGCCACAGCCCCTCCCGGGGAGCAGGATGCTTGTGTGTTGGTCCTGGCGGGAGGCAGGGGGAGGCCGCCGGGTGACGGTCACGTGAGATGGACGCTCGCCCCGAGGCGCTCCTGCAGGCAGGCAAGGCCTGGAGCCCTGGTGACCCAAGTGCCCAGGACCTGTCAGGCTCCTGCGGTGTTTCCGGGTCGGGGTGGTACCCTCGCTTGCAAGTCTGCAGCTCTACGGCTCAGCCTGACTCCCTTGTCCCCTGCAGGTGGCCTGGGAGGCCAGCAGAGCAAGCAGGGAGGACTGCCCGGTGGCGGAGGTGCAGGTTTTGGGGGAGACATGACATGGGACCTCAGACCTCCTCGGCACGGCCAGGTGCCCGCACAGCCTGGCTGCAGTTGGACCAACGGACGACTGTATTGGGGTGGGGGGGGCACCCCAGTGCACACTCCGCGGAGCCGCCACGAGCAAGTTGTGTCAGGCTCATTTTGTAAATAAACGCCATTTCCACCCAGTCCCTGGACTCCGGGGGTGGGATACAGCCCGCCACGGCGGGCCCCCTGGGCCCCTCTCTCCGGCCTCCTGAAATGGGCCCCATCCAGATTGCCGCTAACAAGTCGGCTGGACTGGTTGGTCCGAGTCCCTGCAGTGGCCACGCCTGGTTCTCCGACTGGTCTTCTTGCCACGTTCAGTGTAAGCACCTGACACGGAGGGGCCGCCACACACCCCGAGACGGGGAGAGCAGCACCTGGGATGCTCGGGGGGCCTGGCTGTCCGCCAACACCATCCCCTGCAGCGTGGCCTGACTTGCACTGCCCACAGCGTGGACGCCTGACACGGAGCCACGTTAGACAGCCCGCTGTAAACCCGTGGACACCGCCTGCCTCACAGGAGCCTGGGTCTCCCAGGGGCAGGGCTCCCTGGACACACACACCCCCCCCCCCGGGCATTTACTGAGGGACCGCTTCCCCCTTGGAACGTTTCCTGTAGGGCGGTAAGCGAGCACCCTAACACTGCAGAACCAGCCGTGCCAGAAAGCACCCCAGCGTCATTGCAAAAATACTATTGAGACCACCAGCACCCGTAGGTATTTGGGGACCTGACAGCTAAGTAAGAAGGGCCTGGCTGCGTAAATGGGACTGTTCAGCTAGCTGAGATGAACAGGGGGTGAAGGCAGGTCTCCAAATCCAGTGGTTAACATGGCTACAGGCAGGAGGCAACGTCCACCAGAACACCAGGGCTCAAGTGGGTCAGAAGCTGAGGTTCCCAACGAGGCTCCTCTGTGGAGTTGGGCAGGGTAAACGCGGGTGTAAGGGTGCACAGTCCTGTCCTGACCCCTTTTAAACTGCCTCACGACCCTGGGCAAAGTTCAAACTTCATCTCTAACTGGACACCCCCCCCACCCCAGTTGTGGCAGAACAAGCATGTGCACCCACCAGTCTTGAAGAGGAAACTGGCCTTCCACATCCAGGATGCCCCAGCCCTGGAGAGGTTCCAGAACCCTCAGTTGGCCTTTCTAGCCCAGGTCCCCCCGAAGCAATGCCAGGATCCAACATTCAGCCTGGAGGAGACTTTCCTCCTGCAGTGAATGTTGGTGTTTGTGCAGAAATGGCTCCGTTAAGAGGATGTGGACCTGTCCCAGTGTCTGGGGCCTGCCTGCATGGATTCTTGCCTGAGCAGCCGGAGCTGACATGGGTCACAGGGTGTGGCTACTTGTAGCCACTTCTGGGCTGGCTTTCCTCAGCAGGAAAACTAACTTGAATGGGGGACTTAGGAGGCCCCAGCAGCTCATGGAAGGTTAAGGAAGGTCTCCTGAAAGATCCCTGGAGCAGAGAGGCTCAGATGCCCCCAGGCTCCCTCACATTGGTCTACCACCCAAGGTGGGGTCCTCTCTGATATGCATGCCTGTGATGTGCATTTCAGTTTCCATCCCCTCCCTCCCGGGGTGCTCCGAATGCCATCCCGCAAGGCCCCTCCCTCCCGGGGTGCTACGAATGCCATCCCACAAGGCCCCTCCCTCCCGGGGTGCTACGAATGCCATCCCGCAAGGCCGCTGGACCACCCAACAAAAGGCAGAACGTGGCCCCTGTGTCTCCCACCCCAACCCCACAAGACCGCTTAGTTGAAAACAAACCACCAGAGTCTCTGTCCCGTTTTTTTATGGTTTTGCAGCAGAATGCCTGACATGACACATAATTTTAAGTATTCGGCTGTGCAAAAGAGAATAGTGCTTAAGTACAAATGGAAACAATGTTTTTTTTTTTAAATAAATACTTAAACACAACTCGGGTCCCACAAGCACCTGGACTCGAAGGTCTCTGCGGCGGAGCTGCCAGCCTGTGGACCCACGAAGACCTCGTGATTCCCCTCCCCCCCATAATCAATACACGGAATCTGGTGCCAATGGTTGATCACAATGAGCCCCCTTTGGAACCTTCCCCAGCCCTCTACACATGGATCTGACCGGGACAAGGGCACTGGAATTTCTCGAAGATCAATGGTCCGTAACAGTTACAAGTATTCTACAGGATTGCCTGGGTCCCCATGTCTGGAGGAGGAACGTCTAGATGACTTTCTTCAACTCGTCATACAGGACCAGCACAAACGCGCCCCCCATGCCCCTCAGGACGTTGGACCACGCGCCCTTGAAGAAGGCTTTGCCCCCCTCATCTTTGAAGATCTTCCGCCAGCAG